AACAGATGCGGTAAGTTAGCTCCCCTCCTGCTTTAAACCAATATTCCCCTGAAGCGTACATGAGAACTACCCGGGAAAGCTAATACCAGCTGTTCTCAAGGTCAACCAGTGTGTAAACAATGTAGACTGCAAGTGTTAAATTTCACGCCTTGCTAAATGAAAGAATAACAATCCTTATAGCTATATTTCTCAAATTAAAGCATTTGTTTTAAATTATTTTTATTTTTTTATATACTTTTTTTGTAAAAAACTTTTTGCAGGGGTTTTTATTTCGCAGGAATTATTTCTTGGAAATTTTGTAACAGTGTGAGAATGATAAGATACATTTATTTTCCTATTAGTTAAAAAGGAGGAGACCAACTTGACAAGACAGTTGGGACAATCTAGTTGGGTGAGCTCGTTGATAGTGCTTGGGTGCCAGCAGTTATCAAAGGTACTTTTAATGTTCAAAAAGATAGCTGTGGTATAAACTTTGTTTTTCAGACCTTCTATAATCTGTGTAAAGGTATAAATAGCGTCCTCAGCACTTCTGCTTTTTCTGTAGCCATACTGGTTTGGGTCTAGCCAGTGGTGCGTATTAGCATGCCACTCGAGACGGCCCAAAATCATTTTTTTCAAAAACCTTACCTATTACAGGAAGAAGGCTAATTCGTCTATGCAACTTGGAGGGGTCGGTATTTTCAGTTTTTGGCTTTTTGCTAAGGATGACATTGGCAATTTTCCAGTGAACAGGAAAGTAAGAAAGTCTTAGGCAGGAGTTGTACAAACTAAGTAGAAAAGGCTCCGAAATTTTGAAACACACCTGTTGCATTTTGGCATAGATCTCATCGCCTCTTGGAGCCTTTTGAGTTCCCAAGGAGAAAATTGATTTCTTGAATTCAAAGGTGGAGAAATAGTAATCTATTTCAGTTGGAGCTGAACGCACACTTACCAATTTTTTCTGATAGATTTATGTTCAACAGAATCATCAGTGGTATTATCTCCAGGGAAGAGTTGTGCAGGCAGGGTTGATAAAGCAGATTTGATATCATAATTATGATGGGTGTTATTTATGGGTGCCAGAAGAGTATGATCTGTGTTGCTCCTGTTTAGAATCCTGTAAATGTTTTTCAATTGATCAATGTTTCCCCTTGTATTGCAATAGTTTTGCTAAGATTTCAGCTTTTCTGACTCCATTTCACTGATATATTTCTTTTTTGCTGACTTGTATACAGTTTCCTGATTGGCTCTCAATTGGGGATTTTTCTGCCTTTGAAATTTGCGCCTAAGAGAATTGACCTGTTTTCTCAGAGATGTTAATGTTGGGGTCCACCACGGCACAGCCTTCCTTACAGGGGCTTTTCTGGGAACGGCTTTTTCGGCGGCACTTTTCAGAATGTCATTTAGCTTTCACACCCATTTGTCAATTTCCTCTTCAGTGTTAAGAAAGGTTTGCATACTTAAGTTATTCAGTTCTTCTCGGATTAAATTATAAAACATTTGCCAGTTTGCCCTTCTTAAATTGAAGAAGTTACTTTTTGTATGGCAAAGCCTGTGTTGTTGTACAATGCAAAAGGAAATGGCTCTGTGATCAGATAGCATCTCCCGGGCAACCAGAGACCAACATGTGATATTTTTAGCCGGAGAGGAGCCAGTGATTGTTAAATCAATCCAACTTTTGCCCAGAACGGAGTCATAAGTAGGATCACTTGGTTCATTTATAACAGTAAAATCTTCCCTTTCTAAGAATTTTTCAAAATAGGTACCCCTGCTATTTTCTATGATGTCATGCCATAGTGGATTTTGGGCATTGGAGTCAATACCAATCAGCAGCCTATTTTTATCAATTGTTTTGTAGGTTTCCTCCAAAAAAGAGATAGCATCATTCAGAGGCAAGCTGGGATAGCAGTAAACTGATGATAAGAACATAACAGTATCCAGAGTAATAGATATTACGGTGCAGAACTCATTACATAGGTGGGTAAGCTGCAGTATGAAGATATTTGGGTTGCATATAATAAAGCAAACTAGGGGATTGGGGACAGCTGCAGAGATAATCTTGAAACTCCTAGGAAAGCCAACAATTTTAGAATTGTATACGTAGGGATCCTGTAAAAGAGCAATGTCTATGTCGTTAACTATTAAGTAATTTGCCAGATTTCCTGTAACTGCTTTGGAGTGATTGACATTAAATTGAACAATTTTAATATGTTTCTTGGTATGTGGCCTCTCCATAGTCTGTGTTTTCAATCAGTTTTGATTTAACTTTTAATTAAGTATACAGGACATTCTGGGTCAGTGGCTTTGTGAGAAATATTTTGAACATTCATTTTTAGTCATTTAGCCCATTTGATACAATTAATACACTTAATAACAGAGGACTTGGTCTTTTCCACACAGGTTCTATAGCTGTGACCTTTTACACCACAGTGTGAGCAGGCTAGTTGTTCCGGTACACATTTTGAAGCAATGTGACCAAATTTACAGCAGTTGTAGCATTGTTTGATTCCTAAGTAGTTAAAGACTTGATCAGATCTAAGTCCTATATACACCCTTCTGTTTTTTAGTAAACATTGATGGACTTCAGGTGTGGTCAACAAAACCCATGTTTTTTCCTGAGCAGAGTCTGCCTTGAATCTGAAGGAGAATAGTGGTAGTAGTATCTGATCTTTTCCTTCTGGTATATTTTTTGTCGTTCTGTGCAATGACAGTGTTAATCAACTCCTCTTTATTTAAGTTGCAGCACACATGGTGAATTTAAACTAAGAGCTTTCTTTTAGTTTTTTTGCTTGCCGAAAATTTGAATTCAGAGTCATGACTGTTGTTGATCAGATTAATAATTTTATCAACACTGGCAGTGTTGGATAATTGTAGGCTGACTTTCCCATCATTCTGCACTAGACAGGAGTCAAAGCTGATACCATTGGCAGCTGGTTTTAGAACAGATTCTAAGTGACTTCTGACAGTATTTTTGTCCACTTGTGAGTTTTTAATCCCTGGAGTTAAGAATAATGTCTCCCTTTTTTGTGCATGACCAAACGGTTATGAACTTTTAGTCTTAAAGCTTTGACAGCATTTGCATATGATTTTAGTTGTGATTGGTGCTGAATTTTATCCTCTTGCAGTATAACAATTTCTTTTTGTACCACATTGTATTTGTCTAAACAAAATAAATGGATGTCAGTTATTCTTCGTATTAGTTGAACTATTGTGTAACTTTCTTGTTGGTTGACTGGGCGTTTATTCGCTATGGGCTGATAAATACTTTTAAGTTGGTTGATGGCTTCCGTAAATCCTAGTTTTGATATTTCTTTAAAGGCTGCAGAGACGATTTCTGGGGTGGCTTTAGATTTGTGCCCCGGCATTGTGCTGCAGATTAGGCTTAGCTAACACACTAAGCCACGTGCACGAAAGCAAGGTTGACTAGCAACAAAATAATACAAATTTTAATACTCACATGAACCAAAGGTTAAGAAGCAAAAAAAAAAAAGGTAACCAAGTGTTTTAAAGAAGTGGGAAAATATATTAATTATAACATTGAACTTGTCTTACACTTGAAGTTGACCAATGGTTACAAGACTTTAAACAGAAGAATATGGCAGACATTTAAAAATCACAACTACAGTGAAAAATTCTTTTTACTGACATTCTTCTACTATCCAACCCAATGATAAAACTAACTGATCATGCTTAAACGTCAAATATAATTGTACTTGCACTTGATAACCTGATATTGTTTTTTACATAAAGCAGTGTTGTAGAGTTTATCCTGTCAGAAACGTTTTGCAGCATAAGTGATTTCAAAATATATTGATAACAATTAAATAGCATTTTAAATCGCGCACATAAATATTTATTTATATTTACTATTGAACACAAGACTGTGTTATTATTAAAACACTTGGCGTTTTTCCTCTTTATTCAGTTCTATAAAGAAGAAAAACGCCAAGTGTTTTAATAATAACACAGTCTTATGTTCAATAGTAAATAAATAAAAGAACACGGTTTCAAAAAACGAATTTATTTATATAATTACTTAATATACTGTAAAAAACTTATTGATATATATTTATAAAATAAAATTTTTAAATTTCATGTGTNACTATTTATAAAAAATTTAATTTTTGAGTCTATCTATTAATCCATTAACACAACCACAGAAGTACCCGTAACATTGGTTTGAAGAAAAACTTCAATAAAAATGTGAGGCCGGGACCACACACCCCCCGGACAGAAACCAGCTGTCGAGCTAAAGTCAATATATCGGTGACTTATTACGTAAACAGGACCAGTGTGACCAAGGAACGGGGGTGCGAGACAATATAATTGTCGCATTCCAAACCTAATTGACAGATCTGCGATCATCAATCGTGAGAACGAGTGCGGGATCGTCCGCCAGGTAACTTTGGACAGTCACCTTACAGAGAGTTCAAAGCGAGACCTGCTGACACTCCTGTAGAGGGGACGACGGCTGGGACAGCTGTGTCTTCTCTGGGACAGAAATTAGGTGAAATTTATGGGTCCGTCGTCTGGGAAAAGGCTTGACCCAACTCTGGAGGGGAACGGCCCGGACAGGGATATTCGGCAACCCGCGGCCTGAATCACGTCCCTGGCAACAGACCAGGGACCAATAGAATCGCAGGAGACTAACATTCGGACCAATCAAAATCTCGGGATTTTGGGAAGAAAAAGATGATAAAAGCCCAAGATCCCAAGGACACGGGGAGGTTGGGAGCAAACAGTCCAGTCGACTCAGCTCGGGACTATCGGGGCAAAAGGCTAACAAACTAAGTACAGCAAAAGAGTTTAGGGACCGAACTTCCCGTCGTAGAATTCTCCACAATCCGAATTAAGGAATCAACTTCCACCGGAACACCGTAAACGCCATGGTTCTTGTGCTACGTGGCCCACTTCCTCCTCCAGCCGCCGAAAAGGAAAAGCCTCTCCAACCTATACAGGAGAAACTTTTCCATTGCGGGACTCACGTGCTTCCAGGAAGGACACTCCATCGTTTGGTACGATCTCTTTTCGAAGGACAGACCAGTGTTTCTATTGCAATCATGTTTTAAATGAATAAACACAGTAAATTCGTAAAATATGGTCTCTGTGTGAGTCTCTCTGCATCCAGCAAACCACTACCCCCATACGAAAAGGGCTTTCTCGTGTCATCCTGAAAGATCACGGGAAAAGTGAGCATGTTCACCTTTAACTGAAAGGTCAACATTTCCTCACATTGGGGCCAACTATTCCTCGCAGACCCACAAGTGGTGATCACAGTGGTGTCTACAACTCGTCAACCCCACAAAAACAAAAATAAATAGGTAAAATCTCACAATATTAAACATGATTAAAATGTCAGCCTTTTATTTGAGGTTCTGACATTTTTACATTAAAAACAACAAGTCTTCTCACCATACCATCAAATAGTTATCCAATTTTTATCAGGTTCAAGCCCTCTGGTGGTTGATATGAGTCATCCTTACATTTGCATATTGATAAAAATTCATGGTGAACTCAGGATATGTTTTTCTTCCAATTAGAAGTTCAGACTATATAGCTATATTATATAATTATTTATTTAAAATTATTTATCACTTTTTTATTTTGTCAATTTTGTAGAAATTTTGGCTCCTGAAAATATTCTCCACCTCTTTTCACAAGTTGTATTGTACCACATTACTGCTTGCAGATGGCTACACTTAGTGAAGCAATTGTCAGCAAAAAAATTCAACAAGGCAGCCAAGGAGGCAAATTTCCTGACTTTCCATGACTTTTTCCAAACACTAATGAAAATCCCTCACTTTCCAGGTGCATAGGAACCCTGTACATATTACATAATTTTTATGCATATTTACATTAGATAAATACTTCAGTATGTATAATATTTTAAATATTAAAAATACTGTATATATTTAAATTTTAATCAATATCAGTTAAAACCTATACAGAGTGATTCAAAAGTGATGGATAAAAATTTACAAAGTGATCAATTATTCAATTTACAGTAAAAAACGCTAATATACTCTTGTCTGATTCTCAGAGATAATCAAGTTCCAGAGAAAAATCTTTATTTCAAATCATACATTGTTTTAAGTCCACTACCACTGAAAAGCAACAAATAAATAAATCGGCTGCTGTCATTATTTGTAAAAATGTAGTTTCTTTTACAATGAAACTGCTGAAGAAATACATCAACGGGATCTGAACAACTTCATAATGTACATGCTTCTATTATCTGTAGATGTGAAGCTAGTGAAGGAAATAAGTTTGAGCATTTCTTATAAACTTAATCTTTCTTTAAGTAACAATTAACTAAATATAATCTGTTTCTAAACTAATAAACAGTAACTGTGGCAGTTTATACTAATTAATGTTGAAATAGTAAACTGATTTGAAATAAAGATTTTTTTCTGTAGCTTGGTTATCTTTGAGAACTGGACAAGAGTATATTAACTCTTTTTACTGTAATTGAATAATTCATCATCCCATAAAATTTTATCCATCACTTCTGAATCAACCTGTATATTTATTCCAAGTTACACTTGGAGAAACAGAATATGTAACATACATTATTAATATAAATTCTCAAACAGTACAAAATATTAAAAGTTGTTACAAATAATAATAATTAATGTTTTCATTAGCTTACTATTGCTTCTGGATCCACTTCAATTTCCATTTCATTAGTATCTTGATTATCATCTATTAAATAGAATAAAAATTTTATATGTTAATGATTCTGCATTTTGCAATTACCTATCATATTATTGTAAATTTAAAGGTTATAAAACTTGTTTAGTTTGTGGAATATGTACAAGGCTTTAATCTACTTTGAATTCAATTCTATATAGTAATTCTCAAATCAAAGTTTAAAAATAATTACACTACATTACAATATGAAATAATCTACTTGTAGTATTATTTACTATTAATATATTAAACTTGAAAATGGTTCAATTGATCCAAAGATATTTCACATCTTGTAAAAATCTTGCTCAAATAAAAGAGTTTTTGTTATAATATTTTGAAAACAACAGAATTAAAGATTAGAACATTAAAAACTGCATTGTGATAAGTAAGCTTAGCAATTGGTAGTGCTTCACTACTTTTAATGCAAGTAGTACTTTCAGGAAAAACATAACCATCAATCAGGAAATGATCTCCTAATCCATTTAAACTGAATTTTTAATCCCCGCTTTGCACTCTTTTTTACTTTTTCACATCCTTTTTCCCTTTTTACTCTTCCTTCAATTATCAACATTTCGGCATTTTTTAAAGCTTTCGCACAAAATTAAAAACGAAATTTGTTAAGTTTGATTCCAGTATTGACAGTTAAATGATTTCTAACAGATTTTTCCATCCACTTAACATTCAGAAATTGAAATTATGCTTTTGATTGGCTGAAAAATTTCAAATGTAAATAGTTTTGAATTTGAAATCAAAAATTACTTTTTCCCAAAATTTTAAATTTCTTGCTGTGATTGGTTAGAAAAAAATCAATTGACTAAGACTAATGATGAATTTTAAAAACAGTATAAATAGGCAGTTTCCTTTGGCATCTACTTTTTAACAAAGCTCTGTATCTTTTTATATTTTAAGTATCTATATATTTATATCTATCTATCATATTGGCCCAAATATTATGCAAGTACGATAGCTTTCACTTGGCAGCTCTTTTAGTTTATCTTGTCAGCCCACCTGCTTTTCCTGGGTTGGCAACTCTGGTATTGACAGAATTAAGTAATTTTTTCCATAGACAACTGTATAAAACTTTATATCCATAGTAATTTCGATATAAAGTTTTATACAGTTGTAAGTTACATGTGTTACATGAGAAACGTGTTGAAACTGCCTGATGACAATGAATGAGTCATATGATCTAACTACAGATGTCAACTGATTGTCCAAGTAATCTTTTGGAAGAGAGTATGTGCAGGTTGCTGTGTTGAAACCAGTGATTGACATGGAAGTTATTCAATATGCAACTACTGTCAGCCACTGTTGGATTTGCCATGTCTCTCATGATCAAAGTTGCCGGTCTGCATGTTTCACACTTAGTTGGGCTAGTTTAACTGCAAACCATGCTTTATCTCTTGAGGTTGTGGACTGTGCATTTTTGGGCTGATTTTCTTCTAATTTACAATTTGAAGAAAATGAAATTGTAAATTATCCAAATGATAACCTAAATACATGCATTTGCAGCCCAATTTGGCAACACTGATTTTCGACATGAAATGTTACTCTTTAGTAATTGATTTTTCTTGTAAAACTGTGGGGGAAATGAAATGTTAGGTAATAAATGGGGAGGAGTATAAGATGTGTAAGCAAGGAGGATGAAGGGGTCAAAATTTCCCTAAAAATGCATTATATAATTTATGAAGCTGCTTCTCTTTGCACACGACCAAAATGATAATTATGCTTTTTCCAGGCCCAGTTTCAAATGACTGATTTAATTGTAAAATATTAGTTTTAAGAAATACTAATAGTATAGAATAAATAGAAGGAAAGATTTAAGAAAACTAACTGTAGAATATGCCAAAGAAGATATTGTTAGTGATAGAACTACCTTGAGGTGTAATATTTGTGACATGAAGATTACTGTTGATGAAAAGCACAAGTCAGAAAGTGTTAAAAAGCATATTTTAACTAAAAAATACATAATACTTTACAAAATGTTATGTTCAACTGGTATAAGTAGAAAGATAGATGATATTATCAGAGCTAATTCTGTTGTGTTTTTGTAGATGAAAAAACAGATGATATGAAATGGCTGATTTTGAATATTTCAGTGGCCCAACTAATAGGCAAACTAATAGATGCAATACTATTAAAGATATACAAACTACAAAAGTGTGATTTTGCCTATGTAAGAATATTTTTAGTGTTAAAACATAATTCAATATAAGCATATTATATTGAATTCTGTTTTAACACTAAAAATATTCTTAGAATTAATTCATAATTTTCACAGAAGATTTTAAAAGCAAAATTTATTTTTCCTAAATTCTTGTAACAATTGTAACTGCTTGTACTTAACCTTTCACTTATAAATGATTTATTGGTACATTTTCATAAACTTTTTTACCTGCTTCAGATGCTTCTTCACTATCTGTATTAGTATTTTCTTGATTTTTTCCTGTAAATAAATAAGTTTAAGAATTTTAAAATGTTTTTAAATTTATTAAAAATACAGTTGTCCCTTGATAATTTGACAGGTATGGGACCAAAGGGGTGTCGGATTACCAAAAGTGTCCGGATTACCGAAAGTAATTACATATTTGGCATTCTATAATATTCCTACATTTTATGAGTAAAATGCTGCCTAAATTAATATGGAAATGAAACACCCATTTCGGTTAACTAAAACATGTTTATTAAAAGAAATATGGAAGCCAATAAATGTACATACAGTATATATAGGCATAAATAATACAGTATGTACAGTAATTTATAAACATTATAACTAAATGCCACAATGTAGATAGATTAAATATGTACAGTACATACTGTGCTCACACTTTGAAGAAATCTTTGATTGTCTTTTGCTTTTTCTTGTTTTAGACAGTCTGTCATTGCTTGTTCTTGTATCTGGTTTAACATCAAAATTTTCTCAGTCATATGCTCTCTCCTCGCACTAACGCATCAAAGTGTTTGCAGCCAACACAGCATCATTACAGTTGATGGTGAACGATTTTTCCTCCTGTGCTTCCTGGGTCACGTCTTCATCAGATTCTGTCATTTCCTTAATTATTTCTTCATCTGTTAAGTCAGCATTGAGATTGTCATCTAAAATCCACCTTTGTAAAGTTTCACTTGATTCTGATGAATTAGTCACTTCGTTGCAAATTTGAAGGGCAGCATCTAGTACAACTTGCAGAGATTGGTCTTTGGATTCTTTGTCAACTTCTATTGGAAGGAGTGGGTTATCGGGCCAAATATTTTCCCACGATTTAATCAATGTGGTAGGTTTGACTTGCTGCCAGGCAAACACAGCATTGATAATCACATCTTTGATGTTAAACTTTTTCAAAATTGATGTGATGTCAGCATTAGGTTGACTGACAATATCCATAAGGAGTCACTTCTTGTAGTGTGCCTTGAGAGTTTTGATAACGTTTTAATCCATGAGCTGAATCAATGCAGTAGTATTTTTCAGTAAGTACATTGCCTCGATATATCCATCAGCAGTTTTGATTTTTAATTCGTCCTTATCAGGATGTCCTGGAGCATTGTCTAACAAGAGGAGGGCTTTCACTGGCAGTTTCTTTTTTCTTAGCTCATATTTAACTTGCAGGACAAAGCTGTTCTTGTACCAAACCAGAAAAACATCTTTTGTCACCCAGGCACAGCTTTGGCACATGTATGTAACTGGTAGTGTCAATATTTTAACACTTTTGAGGGCATGAGGTTTTTTGGACATACCCACAACTAGCAGTTTTAACTTGTGAGTTCCTGATGCATTCGCATATACCATGAGAGTGATATGTTCTTTCTGAAGTTTTCTACCAGAAACTTTTTTCTTCTGGAGTGAGAAATGTCTTTGTTGGAAGTTGCCACCAGTTTAGACCAATTTCATCGGCATTATAAAGTTGTTCAGGAGTTAGGTCTAATTCAGTGATCTTCTTGTTTAAATTCTGAATAAATTCAGATACCTCAGACTCATCTGCACTCAACTTCTGTCCACTCATCTGCAAAAAAATCATATTCCGTACCGTTTTTTGAAGTTTTTGAACCAGCTGTGACTAGCATGAAAATCAGTTTTCTTTGTCAATTCCTGATAAAAAAAAAACTGAACTTTAATTTTTAAAATGTCACCTGAAATAGGAGCATGTCTGCTTCGTTGTTGCTTAAACCAGATGTGCAGAGATTCTTCAACTTCAGGGAATTCACTCATTTTAAGGGTTTTTCTGTCCCTAGAATCATCCTCTACAGATTTCATAAATTTTTCTATTTTGTCTTTGTTTTTCATAATGTCATAGACTGTAGCTTGTCCAATACCATAGAATCTAGCTATCGCAGTCAGAGTTTCACCACACTCGCACCTCTTAATAATGTCCCATTTATCTTTTAGAGTCAGCATTTTATGCTTTCGTTTTGAACTTGTGCTCACCATTGAACTGAACTTTCTAAACGAATTAAATAAAAGTTTGGCACGAAAAACCCTACTCCGACTGTTCAAACAGAACTGCTCGTGGAAAACACAAAATGTGTTTCATCGTGTAAGAATTGGGTGAGGAGATTCATGTCGTGACATGCTTCTGTGCAAGCAGAAACGTAATGGGGATGGGGACTACAGTGACTTTGATGGGACTACTGAGCATGTCAGATTACATAATGTCAGACTATCAAGGGACAACTATAATGTGAAATTAAAAGTAAGTCTGTTGTTAGAAAGAAAAAAATTTTTATAAATTGAATTACAGTAGAGCATCGTATATAAATTGAATTACAGTAGATTATCTGACTCAATTGGGGACTGGGGTTGGTCAGATAACTGAAAAAACGGATAACTGAAAAATATGAAAAAATACATTATTAGTATAGTATATTAGTATATCTCATGTAATTAGTATATTAGTATATCGCTATTAACCTACTTCGCGTTGAATTTTCATCGATGTCAAGCCTAACAAAAATTTTTTTTAAATAATAATTGTCGCTATTGTATTGTTAAAAATTAGAAAATTAAGCCTCGTTTAAATACTGGCTCCCTTTCATGGTCGAGCCATGTTGCCAGCTAAAACATGTAAAAATACTATTAAAATAGCCAAGACATAGCCAAATATTGTAGCGCCACATCACTACAGGACATTCGAATTTGCCAACTAGAATGGTCGGTTAACCGATGTGACGGTTAATCGGGGGTTGGATAATTGATGCTCTACTGTATTATTATTAATTTGATATAATTTAAATTTTTAAAGAAATTTCTTATAACATTAAACTGAACACAATAGAATTCAATGAAGAAGATCCCATATAAGAAGTATAAATTCAAAAGTCCCAATTTTTTTCCTCATAAGAGATGTAAATTTTTCCTTTTATAAAATGTTCCTGTTTAAGAAAATTTCCTGCTTAAGTAGAATGATAGATAGACTTGAACAAGACTGAAAATGAACAAGCTATCATATGTCTATAATAGTTAGCCAATCAAACTGAATCCTACAAACTCATTTATGCACTACTAGCAGATAAGCCTGGCGTTACTCAAAAAATAAAGCAAATATTAAGATTATTAGATTATTTTGTACTTCTAACCTTCCATTATATCATACTATTTTATTTATATTTGCAAAAGTTATCTAAATATATAAAATTACTTGTCCTGACTGACTGATGACTCATCATCGCCCAGAGCAAACTGCTGAACCTAGAGGTGAAATTTTGTACACAGGGTACATCATGAAAATGCACACTAAGGAGGGATTTTTCCAGTGGCATGCTGTGACATTTGATGATAGGGAAGCTGTGTTTCTGTAAGAAGCTGACATCCAGGGGCAATCAGTCAATTGTGCGTCAGTGATGGTCTAGGGCCCATTCGTATCGTTTATTCGATAAGCCAGTAAAAACCGTAGACTTTTCTAAATGTATTTAAATATCACAACTACATTCCGAATTGCTAGCCACGATATAAGGGCTACAATTAAAAATAAAATAATAAAAACTTACTTGGTGAAATAAAATGTGTGGTGGATATACTGATACATACATGGTACAAAATATTCTTTAATTGTATGAATATACTTTTAAAGAATTATAACTAAATATAGCTTTTAAAGAATTATAACTAAATATAGCTTTGTAAAGAAATGTACATAAAAATATAAAATATTCTTTACTTTTTAAATCTTAAAACAATGCACTTAAGTCAAATAGCTCCCTACGAATGGCTAATGGATGGAATCGAAGACAGTTGCAGAGCGTGCATACACGTGGACTGCCAAATCCCCAGGGTGCCGATACCAGGCAATGTCAAATACCTCTTTTGTTGCATCACTAGTATATCTCAAAGGACGCGACAGGGCTGTTGTAAATTTTAAACGTTTCTCATCATAGCTGAAAAATCTAAATACAGTGGAACCCCGGTTAACGAACGTTCTGGTTAACGACCAAATCGGTTAACGAACTTTTATTTTGCAAAAATTTTGTCTCGGGTAACGAACAAAATTCGGATAACGAACGTAACGGTATTTTGTGTCAAATTTTAGTTGGTGTTAGGCATGCGCGAGTTAAGCATTGCTTTTCCGAGTGTTTGTACTATACTTCTTTTTTCAGTTTTGTGATTTATATATTTCATCAATATGGCATCAAAGAAAGAAAAAAGTCATAGTGGCAATAGAAAACGACAATGCGCTATCGCATTTGAAAAAAATTTTGATTAAAAGAGTAAGACAATCAACTTTAGATCAATTTTTGTTCCTTACGGAAAGAGTTTGTTTGTTTGTTAAGTTATGGCAACGCAACACTTGGGCGATCTGCCTAGGGGGAATGCCTTCTGGGAGGTGTTTTTAAGGGAAACTGGCCCCTATTTAGGCGTTACAGACGTGGAGAAATCCCGGAAAACTCCACGTGGCCAGCCCGTCTGAGCGAGGTGCGAACCCACGAACGAACTCCCCGTGTTCAAGGTACGAAGACCACTTAGCCACTGGTGGGTTTTTACCGAAAGAGACTTCGACACGAAGACTCTTCCGATGAAGTGCTACCCGTTATTTTTTTGGAGGGATTCCCCTTCTAAGCATTAATGTTCGTATATCTCCACTTTTCTGCCACCAACTACAACAAACGAAGGTATTATTAAACAAAGTTTACATGTTTGTTGCTGTAATGATAGATACTACGTTTTCCTACATTTTCATCAAAGAAAATTACTGTATATTTCAAATAAAATGACAAAAATTTCGGAGACTAGAACGGATTAATTGCATTTGCATTAATTTCTATGGGAAAAATTGCTTCGGTTAACGAACAATTCAGTTAACGAACGGAGTCGCGGAACGGATTAAGTTCATTAACCAGGGTTCCACTGTATGTTAAACTTAACAATCATTTTTTTTCTAACTAATTCATTTTAGGACCAAGAAATCCTCAGAAATTTCCAAAATTTACAACTTTTCGAAAAGGTCACTCTCATTGAACTGGA